ATTGCTTAATTTATGCACGTCCAGAGAAATCTCATTTGCATTGTATAGACATTCCATATTCTACTCGAGCGTCCAGAGAGATCATTTCAAAGGCAGATTCAGCTGCTGATGGAACATGTTCATTTGAGCTACAAAACAAGAAACGCAATTCAGATTAGAATATGCATTATCACAGATTAGAGATGTCATTATTACTGGGTTTAGATTAAGATCTGCTTGTGGGGAAAAGAAAATGTCTAAAAGAAAAAGGAGAAAACCAAAAATGAGTTCTGCATATATTTAATACAAGCGTTTTACGCATGTTTAATTTGAACACAAGGGCCTCTAGAGAACTGATTTTATTTATGTTCTCTCTTTTGGGGTTTATATGTCATGCAGACTTACATATCTCTATTGATATTGCTGCTTGTGAATCATGCATGACAGGTACTCAATAATAATGGGTGCGGATTACTTCTGACATCTGGCTGTTGGTGACGGGTGACGGCAGCTTTGTTCTATGGTCTGAGTTCACATACCACATCAAAGGCTGGCGTTTCTCTCTCTATGAACAGGCTGAAGGGTGATTTTACTGACTTTTCCTTTAAGACTGTCTATTAGAAGTGGCCTAGAGAATCACATGCTGAAAATGTAACAAACAAAAATGTAACCTGGTTTCCACCTAAAATGTTAAAACTGTAAAAAAAAAAAAAAAAGAACTGTAAATAATTTAATTATATAAACATTATTTTTTTATATACATTCTACATATTAAGTATCTTATGCTCACCAATAATTAATTTATTTGATGAAATATTATTTAAATTTAAAAAAGCTGGTTTCTATTGTAATTCCTTTTAAAATGTAATTTATTCCTATGATGGCAAAGCTGAATTTTTAGCATCATTGATCCTTCACAAATCATTCTAACATGCAGATTTGCTGCTCAAGAAACATGATTTCAGGATTCTTTGGTGAATATCAACAGCATTTATTTAAAATTGAAACAATGTGAAAGACTTTACTATCACTTTTCATCAATTTCAATTTGTACCAAAAAAAAAAAAAAAAAAAAAATTCATACGGACCCCACACTTTTAATACATATTTTATTAATCAAATATTGGCTTTAATAACATGGCTTCACATACAGGTCTGATTTTGAGAAAATTGTTTTTAAAATGGTACACCTCGTTGTTTTACTGAACAATACAGTCCTTAAACACATCTAATCATGCTTTTATTTGCCTAGTTTTAATATTTCCAGAATAAATATTACATCCAGAGATGAACGACAAACTTTGACCTAAAATAAAACAGATGGACAGGAGATAGGAAACAACAGGAGAGGGCTGTAACTGAGGAAGTGAAGATTTAGTGGGGTTGAGAGGTGCCTCTAAAGACTTACCGCAGGCTCACGAGGGAAGGCCACACCGAGGGGGATCGATACTCTGCTAATGCAACTCTCATTATTTCTCGGAATAAATTCTCCTGACTCGGGGACCGACACTAAAAGCACCTGGTGGTATTTCAGTGGCTCCGGGGGGCCCATGGGGTCCCAGGATGGCTGCATCAGACTCTGGCTGGCTACTAAAACTCCAGACAAGCTTTCGGGACCTTTAGCACCAAGCTCTAAGGGGACACATTAACAGAGAGTCTCACAATAGGCATTTTGATGTGTCTAACAAGAACACAATAAATTGTCTCTCATTACTCAGTAATTAACTCCACAATCCCATCCCCCCTGCACTGACACTTAAATCACCCTATCCTTCCACAAACACCCCCTAACGCTCTCCTTCCCTCAGCCTGCTCTTTAATTTCCTCTTCTCCGTGGGGCGTAAAGGCAGAGAGGTTTCACACCGTACTCCATCATTCGCTGCCATATGCGCTCTCCCTCCCCAGCCCATCTTCAACCCCACCTTTTACCCCGTCCCATCCTCGGAGGCCTCTCATAGGGCAACACCTGGAAAAGGGCGTGGTCTTGTGACTGGGGATGATGCGAGTGAACCTAGGAGACTCTGCTTTGCTTCAGCAAAACCTAAAAATGCTACCAATCCCTCGGGCCTTCACTTTCCACAGGGCTTTCCACAATCCTCCACTGTTAATTGTTAAAATGAGGTTATTAATTGGACGCAGAGGAAAATCACCTGTCACGCTAGATGGGGATCTCTTACTGATTGAAAGGTATCTCTGATATGAGCCAATGGGCTTGATGGGCCTGTGAAACACACACTGGGATTAAACGTCTGTATAGCCCAAAGGCACATAACCCACCCTAGTTCTTAAAAGGGGGAGATCCCTTTTTGATTGTGTATATGGCTGACATACATCCTCTCGGATGGCCCAGATTCAAAAGCCATGAGTTGTTTGATAGCCTATTGGGGACTAGATAATCCAGGGAAATAAGGGATAATGGACTTCACACATTCACAGTTCAGCATTCATAATTCAAGAACAGTTCCACATCATAAGACATCAATAACTGCATAAAATGTATTTACACAACATTCAGTAACATTGACAACAAATTAGATTTTTACATGAAAGTATGAATGGTGTTTGCTCATGCAGAACAGGGTATGAGGATGCTTTGGTGTCTGGAGTGGTTTTGGCGAGTTTCTATTTGGGTAACTCATTCAGCGTACTGTAGGTGTAAGTGATTCCCAAGACCCCCTCCCTCCATCATATAATCCATTGTGAGTGCCCTAAACAGTAATACAACAACCAGAAAGTCCTTATGAAGAATGAAAAGACAGTCACAGATGCAAAGAATTAAGTTTTGTGACATTTTTTAAATAGATGGGAAGACCATATGCAGCACCATTAGCGAGGCCCAACAGCCCCTGTGGCTCCCATAGCCATCAGGTAATTTGACAAAGATCCAAAAGTTGTAGACATGCAGATGTTTATCATTTAAGCAGGCATCTGTTTGCTCAGGCAGTTTATGTCAGAGAAGATGTGACATGCCCACAAAGTCTTTTTAGAGAGCAATTTAAGTGATTTTTTTAGTGATCTTATGTAGTGCATAAGACGGTGAAAGCCATCTGATTACAAATTAAGTAAACTAAAATTAAGTGATATAGTCTTGAATATTGCATTTTATGTCATCATTCTCATTATTTTGTATTTTTTTTTAAACAGTAGAACAGGAATTTTACTCCACTGTTTCAGCCAACGATGTCGGTTCACACAAATCTGCGAAAACGATAAAAACGCTGTATTATACATGCCAGGCCAGTAGTTGGCGATGTCACTTTGTAAAGAAACACTACACACCAACAGACAACGGTTTTTAAAAGTTTCCAAAACGCTGTTGTCGTGAAATGAATGGCCAAAATGCATAAAAAGTTTTCAGTTTTTAGTTGAAAAAGGTGCTGTGTACAGTAAATGCCCCCTAAATATAGAGTGCCGAAGTTATGACGTCACTTTGTAGGACAACTCGGAAGTTAGCGGCGAATGGGTCGAAAAGCTATGCATTTTCCCCATAGACTTTTGGAAAAAAAAAAATCGCAAAAAATAAGATCGGTCTTCAACAAAGAGTTGTGACCCTTACACAAGTTAATCCAAAATGTATACATTTTGAAGCCAATATAAAGATTTAAAAAAACACAAGCAGACACAAAAAGTTTAAAAAAAACACAAGCAGGTTATAACCGGTGTGTTTTATGTCATAGATCAAAACGTGAAAATATTTAGAGGCTTTGTTAAGCACAAACCTTATTTCTGGCGATTTAGCAAAAACCCATTCAAAAAACCCATAGACTTTAGGGCGAGGGAACCGGAAGAGCTAAAATGCTAACTCACTTCCGCGTTTTGGCCTACAAAGTTACGTCGTAACTTCGGCACTCTATTGTAGTTTCAATAATTATAACATTAGCATTTTGGTGGAAACTTTAACTATAATAGTTTTTGTACCAGTCTCAGATCGAGGAAATAACAGTAATTCAGAAAACAATCAAAAGTCTGCATTTTTTTTTAAAGTGCCACACTGAAAGTGCCTATTGTTGCGACTCAGCAATTTGATTTGTTGGGTAACTGATACAAAAGTATTACGATTGTGTAAATATATATCAACCATTTACTGTAGGATTGTAGGGAAACAAGACAACACTACTCGCTTGGCTAACGCCGCCAAAAAACTGGACTTTCCAACACTTCTTGGAAAACTGAGGTTTTCCTGCTGTTTGAAAAACCATGTTACTCAGTGGGTATCTCTATCTGATAACTGAAAACAAATGTTTAGCAAGCCAAGATAACACAATAACACTCCAGCCCACTGCCTGGCGTGATCGTTCTCTTACCTTGACCTCTCCCTGAAATAGATGCCTGAATTACATGCACACAAACACACGAACAAAAGTGTTGCTTTCCCCATTACGTGCCGAGAGCCTGGCGCTGACAAAAACGATCTATAACACAGTCGTCGTGCACTCGAGAGAGCAGTCTTCCTGAACGAAGAACAAAGGTTGATGGGCCCTAGAAGGACAAGTGTCCTACAAAACATCGTCTCAAACTGGCTGTTTAACAACTGCACTCTAGTTTAAACAAGCCATCAACACGGGGACACACTGAAGGCCTTTTCTCTCCACTTCGCTCTTCGTTGTGATAAAAATCAACATACGCTGCCACAAGGGTATGTTATTATGTAGAAATGTTTATCAAGTGAAGCTCATAGGATCATTTTATCAGCCTTACGATACAGTGCTTTAATATTTCATCACTTCAACAATAATCCAACCGAGTCAAAATATGTTAAAGGAATAGTTGACCAAAAAATTTAAATTCTGTCATTAATTACAATCACGTCGTTTCAAACCTTTAAGACTTTTGTTCATCTTTGGAACACAAATGAAGATATTTTTGATGAAATCTGAGAGCTTTCTGTCCCTCCATTGACAGCTACGCAACTACAACTTTGACACTTCATAAAGGTTCATAAAGAGATTGTAAAACTCATCCATATGAATTGAGAGGTAAATTTCGATCACTTTATATGATGAACAGATTGAATTTAGGCTTATTTTTCACATAAACATTGATCAGCAAACATAAACTGAAGCTCGACCGATCCTGCTTGACGTGCGAGAACAAACCTCTTCCGGAAACTCAAACTTGCAGCATAACATGAGAATGAGCCTCATAGGTTCTTGCACGTTAAGTGAACATTGAGCTTCGGCATGTTGAGGTTTTTTTTTACGAATTTTAATTTTTGGGTGAACTATCCATTTAGACAGCCTTTTTAACAGGAGGTATTGTGTTATTTAAGAGAAAGCGACTCACCTTAACCAATCAGAAAACTTGGAGGCGCTTCTCTAGCACTTCAACCAATGGCGTGACTTTAGGGTTCGGACTATGGAAGATGGGAAAAGTACTAGCAATTTCATGTGAAATCACTTATAGTAGCTTTAGATGTCATGTTTATGTTTATATATATTTTTTATTTGATTATACTACCTCTAAATGTGCATCTATTAGCTTGCTTTGGCATAGACTGTAGTGTTCTTTGATACAAAATTTGCAAAGTGACACGAAATTGTAAAGTGTTCTTCCAACGAAGCAACCTTGACGTCTTCAGTTTTGCAGGCACCTTAGCGATAGCAGACCTCCGAAATTTCCATTGCTAGCTCAAGGCATTCCCCCGTTTCATGGCAGATGTCCCTAAGTCCACAGTCAAAATCACAACTGCAGTTCCAGTTGGTGTGCGCAGGTTCCGCAGGTGGAGAGAAAAGCATGTAGGTAGGGCAGATGGAGATAGCAGCTCGCTCGCATGTTTCAGGTAGCATGAGGAACAGGTCATAGAATCGGCAGAAGAGACAATTCAGTACAATCCCGGCACAGAGCTCTGAACAACAGAAATAAAAAATCATCATGACATTGTGGGCAGTTAACAGGGAGTGCTAAAGCATCTTTACTTTATTCATGGCTGCATTTAAGAAGCAATAAAGAAGTGTGTAAAACCTCTCTGGAGAGTACACTTGCAGTTTATCTGTTTAGTTAGCAGAAACGTGAGGTATCTAAAATATGTACAGATGCTTGTTATATATCATGAAATCAAAAGGCCAAAATTTTACATTTTTATGAGCATCTAAGATACACAAACTGCTAACTATAAAATTCTCCCCATGCTCTCAAACTACTAGCATATTTAACAAAAAAAAAAAAAAATTAAAATGTCGTCAACATCTTTAATTCAATAGTTTTATATTTCTGTCATTTTTAATTGGTCATTCGCAATGCTTCGTGGAATTGTAGTTCTTTCACACATTACAGCTGTTCAGTAATCTTGTATCTTTGTTTTTGTCTTAAAGTTTGTAAAATGTATGATTCATCTCATAGCTGATTGGTTTTGTTAATGACCTCAACTCTTTTGTGAAGAATTTTGAAAAATCCCTATACGAAAAAAAATACCAAGTACTTTTATGCTCCAAGGTTTGCAAGTAGACACGGAATATTATTTAATTATGTGTATTAATGATACACAAAATGCTAATTATAAAATTATAATTAACAAGACAAAGGAGTCGGATAAAAATGTAATTTCCACTGCCGCCATGTAATCATCACTTCCGTCAAACAAACTGCATAATCTGAGATGAGGTGGAATTATCTAAAAAAATGACAAAAATTTGATGCATGTATATAAACGGTTGGACATTGTTAGTGGGGAAAAAAACTAGAGTGAAATTTGTTTTGTACAAAACTTTATTGTCTAAACCCCACAGGGCCAAAGTGTCTACAGTTGAAGAAAACACCCTTAAACAGATGTAACGTACCAGTATGGACACATTAAATGGGGAAAAATAGCTTTTTTGTGTGGTTGTTTCTAGCAGAGCTAGATATTATGATATTGCTAATAAGTTAGTTAACAGACTCAATCACACTTTTTGCACATATTCAAAAATGTATAACAGTACATTACAATATGCATCCATTCAGAATTTAATTGAAATAATCACATCTGTCCAAGACAGTACGCTGTTACCATCAAATAGTAAAATAAAAGCACCAAAATGATGTCAGAAATGAAGCACTTCAATGACTGACACATGGCATGATCATGCCAAGAGCTTAGAAAGCCCACACAGTGTTATGTATGTTATAGAACCTAAATGCCTCTTTGAAATCTCTCACCTTGGGAGTTCGGCTGATGGGGATAGACACTCAAAGGCCCTTATTGACCTGCAGTCTGTCTGCACCTCTTGTACACAACAGTTTATAAGCCCACCAGCTCTCGAAGGGCACTTCTGTACACATGCATAATTTACTGAATCACCCTTTCCTTCCAAAGAGAGAAGGAATAGAGCTGTGTGGAGATGTAATCAATTATCATCTGTCCGTATAGGTGTTTTTCCCTTACAAGATCATCTGTGCACTGCTGGAAAGAGGCAGAGACCTCCAACTGATTAAATAAATGGAAGAATGACACAGACTCAAAATAATAAGCAGGACTTTAGCAAAGTTGACTTTATGTCATAGTCATGTTTCCACAAAGCCTAGGGTCTTGTTTTTTTTTATTTTTTTAAATAAGCTTCAAATGGGGCTTTAAGTAGATTTGAGCATAATGCAGGACAAAATACCCTTGCCTCTGAGCATAAGAGTTGGAATTAGATTAACCTCTGAATATTACACCAGGAAAAGCATTGTAACGCATGTGTAAAGCTCAACACTACGACATAATGACTGCTGCACCTTTACTCATCTGAACCTACTGGCTGAATGCAGGGAAATATATTGTTCTAATTAATTTCATATTGAAAAAGCTGTTGAATCGTAATACTCATGCAAAGGAGTTCTCAGCGCATAATTTCAATAATTAATCTCTATATGTAAGTTTAATCAAATGTGCTGCTTAAATCAGTTATTCAACTGATGTAGACAGCTTTAAAAGCACAAGCTTTCCCGATCTTTTTATTTTAAATTAAAGATACGTTTTAATAATTTACAATTTAAAAATGCATAATTATTTGCTTCTGGCAACACATAAATTCATAAAAAAAATCAAAGGATTAAAAAAAAAACAAGATAATGTATAAAACCACTGCTTATTTGAGAGAAAATTAGGAGTTTGAATTTTAATACAAGACAATTCATGGTGGCAGCTGATGTTGTAATTATTATTCATTAGAGCACTTTAGGGCACTATGGGGGTCTGGGAAAGAGGAAGCTGGCCAATCCCCAAAGCCAGGTGTGATGATGCGTGACTCACCTCCTCTCTCCTGGGAGTCAGACAGGGAGCTGCTGGAGGAGCCGGCCGTGCTGTACCTGTCCACTGAGCATAAGGAGTAAGTGAATTCTGTAGAGTCAGTGTCTGCTTCTCTCTCCCAGGGATCCAGTTCAGGAATGGGTGAGAGCCTCCCTGTTGCTTTGCTGGACACCTCCGCTCCTGAAAAAGAATAGTCTGCATGCTTACAGTACATTTATATCGAGCAAGATAAGGTTGATTATATTCACCAACACTCTCAGGTACAAAAGCTGTTATTGGGGTGGTACCCTTTCAAAACATACTAATACGTAATTTCACAAATTAAAATTACCCCGTGATTTACTCACCCTCAAGCCATCCTAAATGTACTGTATATGACAATCGTCTTTCAGAAGAAAAGAATCAGTTATATTAAAAAAGTCCTGGCTCTTCCAAGCTTTATAATGGCTGCTTTTATTTTGAATTTCATAGTGGATCCATTCATAATAAAAGTGCTCCACGCGGCCATGGGGTTTTAATAAAGGCCTTCTGAAGTGAAGCGATGAGTTAGTTTAAGAAAAATATCCATATTTAAAATTTTTTAAATATGCAAGTCAACTTACGGCAAAAGAGTATCACTTGATGATGCATGACGTAGAAGTAACGTAAGCTTTAACGCCTCTTGCGGTTTAAACCAAAAGGGCTGGGCAACAAACTCAAGCTACTCCGATATTTATCTTAAAAATTCTGGTGAAAAATTGACTGGTGTTTTGTTTTGCTCTATCCTCTGCGCTTCCGCGTACGTCACTGCGTTATGCTCATGTCAAAGGTTCCTCTTTCGCAGTAAATTGATGCGTACGGCTATCTGCATTTGCAAGAAGAATTCAAAGTTCAATATTGTGCATGGCTTCCTATTGTGGATTTTCAATAAATATAAATTCAGTCTTTAACTCCCAAAGCTTTCATATGACTTCAGAAAAGTCAAAATATAGCACCGGAGTTGTATGGGTAAACTTTTTGGAGCTTCACTGCCCTGGTCCCCATTGACTTTCATATTGTAGAAAAAATAATTGATCCACAAGTTGCAAACAAACAGATGTAGAATGCAACAGTTGGGTTCCAGAAGTCAATTCTTTGATGAAGACTTTTGAAAAATCCCTATGAAAAAGTGGGCGGACACTGTTCCACTCTATAGTCCCGCCCCAAACTCACGCCATTGGCTGAGCTCAAGTCACTCATACAAAAAGCAATGTTTTAATAGTGCCATAGCCACAGTTTTTTGGAACGCTTGCCTATATCGGCACATTTACTTTTTTTGCAATGCTAAAATCACTTAAATACACTAAACATCCCTGTCAGCAACAAATCTAGCCTATATTTGCAAAATAATCAATGTTCTCTAATCCACCATGTCAGTTCCTATTTCAAAAGTTATTTCATCCTCAAGCAATGTTTTTCAAGGCTTGTCTAGAAATCATGCAGAGATGTGTTCCTGAGCTCTCACTGGTTTCAAAGTGAGCCCAGAAATCATTCAATAATGAATCTGCCAGAACTGAATGCAAACTATTAATGAATCATTGCTTTGGCTGCACTACCTTGTTTATTTTCTCTTCCACCTATCCCGAATTAATTATTCAATGTGCTTTTCTCTCTTTTATTTAACATTTAATGTCTTATGATTAATTAACACACGGCACATATTTTCCGTAGAGGAATCTGCATTGTTAGTCTAAAATAAAAAAGAGAAAGGAAAGACAAATGAAAATGGCTTTGGGTTGTATTGGCCTTTTTTATTCTCTCTCTCCTTCAGATTGAATAATTTAGAAAAGAGGATAAAGAATTGTTTCTCCAGAAAGTTCTGTAGTTTGTCTTCACTGTGTTCTCGTTTTGTGGAGTGAAAATGTTATGATATGACGGATGTAGAAGATTAATCTTTGTCTTATTATGGGAGCGCGCATGCTCTTTGACAACACAGTCACAGGATTTAAACTGCAGATTCTCAGGTGTGCCATTATCAGCTGTTCACAATCACAACACAGCTGTCATGCATAACCATATGCATGATATAATCTCTAATACAGATGTTTATGAAAAATAAATATGGAGATCTAAGTTAAAGACAGTGTGACAACTAACCTCAGTCTCCACTTCTTTTAGTCTCTGAGTAAAATTCATTAAAAATTTAAGATTTTGGCAGATTTATTGGATGGGGAAAGGGATATTTATAGGGGAAAAGGAATAAAAACAGATCCATTATGACAGGGGACAGGATTCACCTTGCCTATTTCTAACTGATGTGAAAGCTAATGCACTTATTCTTCAATCGATAACCATCTCAAAATGAGTGAGAAAACATTGTTCTCATAACATACATAATGCACCATACCAAAAATCGAACAGTCTTAGACTAACGTTTGAACATGTTACATTGCTTATTACTAACTTACCAGCTTTTACAAATGAGCTTCTCTCTTCAGTTTTGATCAAATCAAGCTCGATTTCAGAGTTTTGTCCAGCCATCTGTCTTATATTAAAATATCAAAACAAATATCAAGTTAATAATGTACCGATTCATAAAACCGCCCACAAAGACACTGCTAAAACTGTTTATGAAAACTTACCATTGATATAATCTTAGTGAAGACAATATAAATCATATGAGATCTCTAACGTTAAGCATTATGCGCGACACGCCTTCAGCAACACAGAAATAATCACATGCGCATTTAAGCAGTTAAAGCAACACGCGCCGGTATTTCACTACGATAGATAATAAGAAAGTTACTAAAATTTAAAATTATAGAAGTATACTGTGGTCAAAGCAAAGGGCTTCGTTTCGTTTCTCTCACGCTCCCGCTAGTCGTCACTGCTGGTTTAAAGTGAGCGTCAACTTTGATTGGCGTGTGACACACCCAACCCAAATCCACCGATGACGTCGTGCTATGGTCGTGACGTGTTGCGTTTGACAACTAAAACTCAAGGTAACGACACGCTTTCTCATGTTTTTTCATTCAAATATGGTTGATGTATTGCTAGATCTCGCTATTAATGTTAAAATACGCCTTAAGATGCATATTTGATGCTGAGGTGTCGCACTTTCTTTCTTCAATTGGGTGTTTTAAATGCAGTTTGGCCCTGTAAACTAGCACAATCTGTTTACACTCCCATTAGATTGGTGATTTTTTTTTTTTGGTTTAAAATATCCAACTCTTTTGTCTTGCTAAAGAAAATGTAATAGATATACTGTATATCTATGATAAATACAATTCAATTTCAGTTATTTTCAATTAGCAATTTTCAGGTTTTTTTATTATTTAACAAAAGCTTGATTGGAAATTATGCATATTAAAATAATTTGTTTTCAAGCATGCTTTTCAGTGAAATTATTCACTTGGTAAAGTGCAAAATTGTTTGTGGGGGAAATGACAACAATTGGACAGTTTTGAATGGTTTTGAATTTTGAAACATCCCCATTTCACACAATAAATATTGCAATATATATTAAATATTAGGCCTTTTTACTCGTTTAAATTGACATCAATGTCTCTTTGATTGATTTTCATATCGAAAGTCTTAGTCTGGGATAAATGATATACAATCTATATGTACTAACCTGCATTGGAAAAATGAATAATCAAGGCATGGTAAAATCTTTCCAAGACATTTTTTAATGTGAACTGGATTTAACAAAAAAGGGGGAAAAATAGTTGTAAGTGTTAATAAAAATCAACCCCTGGGACATAAAAGTCTTAGAATTTGAAGAAACCCAATTATGAATGTACTTGCTACTTCCAGCATTATTCACACAGTTTCACAAGAAAAAAAAAAAAAAACTTTTTTTTTATTTAGAGCCTTATGCTGTAGCCTGTAGCACTACTGCAATGAAGTTCAGTAGCTTTTCTTTGCACACAAACATGTCAACACATACCTATGTTCACACAAAACAATCTAGTTCAGCTTACAACACGTGCTCCTCATATAAAAGCCAGTCAGCAGAGATAAACTGATAATGAGGTCTATTCAGATTTCTCGAGGTTTACAAGCCTGCCAATTTACTCCAACTAGCCTGCAGATTAGAGTTGCATTTTAAAGGATGCCCTGCTGTGTTTGCATATGTTTAGAGAACAAGGGGCCCACTAATTGAAAAATTAAGATGTGGGAATATTTGTGGGTTTGGACTATGCCAGATGCCTTCTTCAACAGTGAGTGCTGGTTAAATGTGAATAATATAACATGATAGTCATACAGATCAAGCTGGTTATGTTAAGTTCACATCATTACAATATGTTGCTTTGTGCTATAATGATTATAATGAAATGCCTGTTTGTCATGTAGCTGATCCCTCATCTAAAGTCATAGAAATGGGTTAAAAAATACAAGTAATTAGATAATTTTGTACTTTTAAGGGGCTTTTGAAATAGTCAGCCACTGGTAAAACAAAATTATTTGATTACTCAGCTAATTTTGAAAAACTCAATCGGAAATAAAATATTTAGCATGGTGCAGTTATGGTATCTAACAGCAAGAGCTAATTTTTGATGCTAACAAGCCAATTCCTCCTTACCCACCTATGGGAAAAACACACTTTAAAATAAATGAATCAAAGGCTGTAGGTTTAGTTCAATTCATTTTTAATTTCCAAAAAAAAAAAAACCAATGCATAAAACACTGCATAACATCAGTTTGTAGGATTGCAATCTTAATAACTTAAGATTTGATACCAAACGTTGCAAGATTTTAAAGCTATATATATAATCCAAGGCCAACATGCAATTATATGCAGTTTTAATCAGTTTTGTTTGCATATGTTTACAGAACAAGAGGTCTGCTAATTGAAAATAAAAGAAGAATGCTTGGCTATACTATCTTTAAAGGTACAAAATGTAAGTTGCTTTTTTCTTCTTCTTCAAGTCAATGCATCATCAATCCTTTCAAAATGTGTTTTTGTCTTACCCTGATTCACTATAGTAAGCCTATTATACAATAAGTGTTTATCTTTTAGATGGGACGGAGCACGCTAAATCTCAAACCTCCGGAGAATCACCTTGTTATACAGAAATGCAAAACCGAGGAGAGTCTGCTGGCAAAAAGACAATGTGACAGAGCTTAATAAAACAAGAATCAACATTGGCTTGGCTTTTCGGATCGACGCGTTTGTATTACTCAGCAGGTGAGTAAGGCATTGAACATAAATTGTCATACTGTGTGTAGCTCTCTAACAGAGTTATTGTACGGCATTATATTGTAAAGGGTCATACGGTATTCAAAAGTGTAACCAAAATGTATGCAGTTTTGTTTTTTAACCATTAGAGGGCCAAAAGTTCCATAGGCTGTGTCTGAATTCACGCCTACACCCTTATTTGAGGGGTGTCATAATGCCCCGTAATAACGAGTGTACAACTGATGTATACTCAACGACTAAAGAATAATCCACTGTGAGAGTCGTGCCGAATGATGTTGGGAATAGTGAATGAAGGTATAGGGGTGTTTTCGCTCACAACTACAGCGTACCTTTATATATCATGAGGACAACATGCAATGCATGCATAGGTGTAAATTTGTTTGCTTTTTTGCATACATTTTACATTGTTGGAATATAGCTCATAATACGCAGAGTTAATATTTCCTTCTTACCTTGAGACAAAGACAGATAAAATGATCTTCCATGGAGTCATATCCAGTTGATAATTAATTATACTGCAACCTGATTCCCTTCCTCTAAATTATTTATGAGTTAACCCCTCTTTTATCCTCCAGTAATGAAATACATTATGCGTAATGACAAAAATAGATTAATTCATTTGTATAAAAGGAGAAAAACCTTGCTCCTTTAAATTGAATGATAAATATAGCTTCCCATCCCCCATCCACAGACACTGAGTTCCAAGATTTACATCTTGATGGATGAGTTGAAACAGAATGACTGATAGACTCATACTTAAGACTCTCATGGATTGATTCGAGTAAAATGAAGACTTGAATGATTTTTAAAGCTGCAGAGTGTAATTTCTGCACCATTTGCATCACAAAATCCAAAAGAGCAATATTTGAACAAGTAAAAAGTTTTTTTTTTTAAATTCCACACTTCACACTAGTTGTTCTTGACAGTTGTATCTAACACAGATAATTCTTCAATTTTAAAACAAGGTTACGATGACATCAGGCTGCTAATAATGCCAATAAATCTCCCTTGTATTATTCGGTTTTGTCAGCTTCTATGGTGAGGGCAGCTACTTGACCAGGCCATCATACCAGCCAGTGAAAATGACAAAGAAATATCCCTCCCAAGGACAATCAAAATAGATATCAGAATTTCCAATTAAGACTACAGATAAATGACCTCACAATACTGTAAAATATAGCAAGAATATGAGAAAAGGAGGAAATTGGATTTGGTGAAGTTAAACAGTATATGACTTAAATCTTTTGGGGATTCTCTCTCAAACAAAGAAAGTGAAGGTTTCCTAAGGCGATGGCTTCACTTGGGAATTCCCAGGGTGATCCAAGAGGGGATCGGAAAACCCTTGAAGTTATTCAACCCAGTAAATGACTAAATAGATTTTTTTTTTTCTATTAACTGATAGCCCCACATTGGTTGAAGGCAGATGATATTTGACTCTCTGTTTTTTATTTAATTAGATGTCAAAGTCAAAATGATCATCTTTGATGAATATTTTTGAATTATTGATATTCCTGGCAATATTGTCTTGGCACTAAATGGATATTCTAGTAGAATATAGATATTCCAGTCTGAGGAGCTGCATGTGCTTAGACACTTTGCAGTCACATTTTCTTTTTTAACTTATTTTTATATTATTGGACTTTCATAATCTAAATTCCATATATTAATTTTTTTCTTTCATCTTCATTATGGCATTTCTGTTCTTTTTGATGAAAGAAAACACTATGCCAGCATGTAGCATAAAACAATTGACCATACGAATTAAAATGCACATTTGATTTTTTTTTCTTTTTTTGCAACGAGAGCTTTTAGCATTAGTGCAATCATGATATGACATCAGACATTCTCAGTAAAGTATTGTCTTGTTGTTATTGCCTAAGACGGATTATGATTGGGTTTAAGCGCAGGCACATTATGAGGTGAGCCCTAAGTAGTGCTGAGGATGGAACAACTCTTTTATGGTGTCAACCAGATAATAAGCTCCTTGATTCATATATACTTTAAGAGTCAAGGGTAACACAATGCTAGCCTTGTATTTTCTCTCTCCATCTATGTGTGTGTCCTTGCTCGTAAGGATCTCTTTTGTCCTACATTTTCATGAGTCGGGTCTCCCTCCGTCTACTAGTGCTGCAGGCTTATCTTCATACAGCACTGTTTTTAAACACTGTCAATTCATCTCTCTCATTACCATCATTAATAAGGCCTTTGATACATCTTATTACAAGGTTAATTGGGACAAATCTGAAGCATATCCCCCTGTATCTTTTAATGTGATATGTCTCAAATTCATCTCTCAAAGTAGACTGCATACCACAACTACAAAACAGCGTAAAAGACCCTCTGGTGCAATGTAAACGTCCACAACAGCTGGTATTCATTGATTGGCGTTTTCCAATAGCGAGTGTTTTATTGTGTTCCTGGGTCTGTTTGATGTCTTACCTTGTACTGTTGTGCTCAAATGTGCTTTTAATTGTGGCGCCTATGTGCCAAATTGTTCATTAAATGATTTTAACAGTGCAGTGTAACCAACTGCTTGCTTGTTGTCAAATGTTCAAACTGATATGGAATAAGAGGTCATGATGCCATTCAGCCTATTCTGTACAAATATTCAGGATGCAGACTTTTTACGCATTTTATGGGAATTTTGGGGAAATAATCTGTGAAATACATTAAACACATTGTGTTAAAGTCACCATGAAATCAAAATGGACAATTTTTGTTTTTTTCATGGCATATTGCAGTATGTATCCATGCAAATCGTTATTATTATTTTTTTCAAATTCATGTGCCCTAATACAATACAATACAATTTTATTTGTATAGCACATTTAAAACAACTGACGTTGACCATCAAGGTACATTAAAAGCTAGTGAAAAAAAGTGCGTTTTCAGAGAAGTTTGAAAAAATGTCCGTGTTTGGGCAGATCTGATATTTGAGGGTAGGCTATTCCATAATTTGGGTCCATAAGCTGCGAAAACATGGTCACCCCTGTTTTTTAATCTGGTCCTGGGGACAGAAAGTAAGTTAGAGTCCCCCGATCTTAGTGATCTTGACTTCAATTTTGGGTAAAGCAGTTCAGATGGTACTGGGGAGCTAAATTTTGTAAAGATTTAAAAACAAAAAAGCAAAAAAAATCTCTTGCAGCGACATCTTTCCTCTGATGAAATGATTGGCGTGAGGGCCGGACAAGTCTGTCACTCACATGAGATCATAGCAATAGCAAATCACTATGGTCCAATCAGTTCCCAATGGACAAAATCAAGTTTCGGTCTACATTTTTCTTGTTAGAGAAGCCTTTTCAATTGGATAGGCCTATACGTTACAATATATTGGGAAGAAAAAAAAACCTATTGCAACTTCCTTTTTATACCAACCTTAAAATCATACTGAGAATACCTCACCAGGTACTAGCACGAGTAATTAAAAGTTACAAAATTTGTTAATTTTGTAACTGTGTGTAACCAAAGTGACTGTGCGTCTGAAAATGTGCCTTTTTTACGTTGTTTTTGTTCTTTATTTACTAATTACATTTACCATTGTGGCAAGATAGAGGCAACGTTACGTTATGTTATGTTATGCGTAGCATGTATGTTATGTGTATTTCATCTTAGATTTGTAGTAACATTCAGATTTTAATTTAGGAGTTGTGACCGATTTATGACTACAAATGCCTTTGTTGAGTGAATAATATGCCCAATGGCTTCTAAAGTACATGGACTCTGCCTTTATTTATACTACCATAGTTTGACTACCAAATTTATGATTATTAAGCAATTTGGACTTCAAATACCTGCGCAGAACAATTATTCTACAGTTGTTCGAAAAGACCTTTGGGCACTCAAGGTCTTGAAGCTGGTTATTGCACAGCATAGTCGCTGTGAAGATTTCAAAAAGACATGAAAATGAAAATGAGTTTGACAAACCGGCAAGTTCTTACCTATTGCTCTGTGCCAAATAATACATTTGCTGACAAGGCCACTGAAGAGTATGAGGTCCACAGAGTTTCGTCTGTATGTTCAGGTGGGAGAGTTATCAGAGCCTTTATTATCTGGGCTAATAAGATCTTTCAATTATGGAGAATGAGATGAACAAATTAATTAATAGTTCAGATACAGTTTTTTGCCACCTTCAGCAAATGTACTCGAGAGCACATGCTGATTCGTCTCTTGTTTTGTGTGAATTCAGTTTTTTCTACTTAAGCACACAGCACTATGCTTTTCAGAGCTGATATTGTGTGTTAGTTTTCAATAACTGTAGCACAGGTGCAAGAAAAGTGCTGTAATTAATATCATCGATGCTACTTTTTGCTCTTGTGACAATTTTTTTTTCTTTCATCCTATAGGTTAACTCGTCCTTCGCTGAAAAATGTGACATTTCCAAAGTATACAAGTGCAAAGCTTTTGCACTCGTATAATTTTCCCATAAAATGAGAACATTTAAGTGTAGAGCGGTGGAATTATACGTCAATGAATGGCCCCACTAATAGTGATATCACTCCCCGGAACAAAAGGATAGGAGGCTGAGCGAGAACAGAGGAGTAGAGGTGAGTTTGTGATCCGTGCACCGTCGGCCATTTCCGTCCCTTCCGTTCAGGTCATGCACTATCCCGCCGAGAGAGCGCGCACATGACTGACAATACCCACAAGACAAACGGTCCAATCCAGCACAAACCCACGCTTAGACAGATATGTGCGAAAAAATAATGGTTATTAAATTAATTGCGGTCGTAATCTCGTAAAATATGTGTCAGAGAATTATACGCTGTTCGATTAACACATAACACGGGTGTCAAATATGTAATAAAATCCTGATCAATAAAACAATAACCATGTTGTTAAAAGCAGCCGCTGAAAGGTGTTGCCAGCTCTGTGTTTCAGGGGTTAGCACCCCTTTTAATATAAACGGATTTCATCTTTCCACTGTGTCACCTAAATCACTAGAATGTTTGTGTATACAATTATAATAAGTTAATAAATTGTAGCAATGGATGGATTAGGAACACTCTCATCGACCCCATATATCAGGCATTGTCATAGGCCTAGAAAATGCATGTCTAACAATCTGTTGATTACGCTGTGCTCAGAGAATAGCTTTTACTAGATACATTATTTGAGCCTATTGCATTGTTAAAATCAATAAATTGCCAGCAGTAAAGAGTTTTTTTTTTTTTTACATCTCACGTCTATTTTAGTTTTAAAGACAGGTTTTGTATTCTTTCAAAATGACTATTTTGTCTTTGTAAAGAACAGAGCTTGTTGATGTGGCCCTTAAGCAGTGCATTCATGATCCGCATTAATGATATCGTTCCAGATATATCGTCTTAGTGCTTTAAAATTCACAAATGGCGTGTGCTAAAAGAAAATTGTATAACTTAGGGTCTCATAATGATTCCTTTCTGGGCTGAAAGGGTATTTGTGTATAGCATACAAATGTTTCATCGACCTAAATGTAAGCCTTTTTCATAAAGTGTTTTAAGGGAAGGCTTTCATTAACCAAAACCATATTCCTCTCTCTCTGCTGAGGCACACTGGAATCATCTTCATGCCACATTGACTTTCAAAGGAACATTAGTCTATTTATCTGTATTTATGTGGAATGATTTGAAAAAGCTGTTAATTTGAAAATGACAATTTTATTTTTGCCAGGGAAATATTCATTCGAGTGAATTAATTGTAGCAATTAAAAGGCTTATATTTGGGAATAGTTGTGAGAATAGCTGTAGCTGAAGGTGTGGATTTTGTAAGTACAAGGTTAATTAACATTGGCTTTGCATTGCCAATGAAACCATCAATGCATTTGAGTTGCATCAGAGCAAGATTTAATTCAAAATGATTCTCTGTCAATAAATTTTGATCATGTATGCTATTTGTGGATGTTATTGGTTATTTGACCAAATATGTAATGCAAGAAATTTATCGGCTGATGTGCATACTCTATTTACTGCATATGTGTGCAGTGAACCAGTGTGCTGTGTCCATAGGTGAAATAAAGATATGTAGTCCTTAACAGTAGATTAAACCATCCCGTGGTCTTAACAAGCAAAGTAAGATATCAGTGCACTAACAGAGCCAGTGGTCAATAATTGAATGAGAGTGGCCATTGTCCAATTACACGGATTATCAGTGGAGGCTCCCCCTCTCGTTAACGACTAAGGCAGGGATGAGTAATTAAAAAGATTCATGTTCTTGCCACTTAATGATCCTCTCTCTTTTGTTGTGCCTCACCTGTGGTTAGCCGAGCATTTAAAGGAGGGCATTGGACCAAAAATCCCTCAGCTTTTCGAATGCCTTTGGCTACATGCGTACTTCCGGAAAGCACCCAGCACACAGGCTGCTTGCATAGGAGCGGTGTGTGTGTTTGGGTTACTCCACTGTTGAAATCCAGAATTAAATTCTTTTGCGTGGATTTTGCGGCCTGGCCACATACTGTACCTGAAAGCTCAGGTCAGGAAGAAATCTTTTGAGCTATTGAGTGCTCAAGAAGTGTGCCCCCTCCACTTTGCAGTGAAGAAAGGTTCAGTTGTAGTTGGTTCTTCTCCAGTAATGGGACAAATTCACTGTTGTACCACTTTTGGTGTTTATACTTGGCAGGTTTGGTTCGTTCATTTGAATAAGTGTAAACTTTGGCTCGCACCAAACAAGCAGAACAAGACCCATCGTTGTCCGCTTCCAAACGCGCTCTGTTGCGGTTCGACTGAAATATGAATGCAACACGGACCAAAGACAAATAAACAACCCAAAAATAGGATGTCATGTAAATTGCGACCCTACAATGGACAGAATACTCAAGCATACATGGTTTTTCTCATCATAGGAGCTAAATGTTGCCCATTACAGTCCAGTACAGGCATCGGAACCACCGTCTCTTTATAAGCTCTTCATGAGTTTTCATCATGAAGCTTTTTTTTGTGTCTGTCTTTGGTGTTTACATTTTTTTTTCTTTTTCGGTCTGGACCAAAAGGACCAGTGTAAACACAGTCACCCTAAATTTGCACTTGACTACCAAAAGTTGCTGTTTTGTGAATTTGTCCTCCTGTCCATGTGCTTTTCACTAAATATGGAGACTGATCTCATGAAATGGCATATGTATGACACGCCAATTCGTATTTCCATTTTTGCCGTGCTATCAACGCGCATAATCGCTTTTCAGCGTGTTTATGAATGCCGTTGAATTAACGTTACATTACATAACATTACATTACAACCCTGTCCCTAAACCTACCCATCACTGGGGTTAATACCATTTATGAGACTTCCCCTACCATCCTAGGAAAAAAAATATTGCTCCCCAGATGGATTTGGTGTGGACATACACGCGGATAGCTCAAAATGTGTATAGATAACACGCCACTTGACTTGAAAGTGGCGTGTATGTTTACGCATAAAGTCATGATGTCATGTTGCAATGAAATGCAGTCCCGTTTATTATACCTAAATAGCACTGCACCATATATACATTTGCCATTCCTTTAAATTGTTGGTCTTATAAATTTAAATGGTTGTTCTTTGTAAATGAAAGAAAATTTGTGTTAATGTAATTAGGTTTAATGGCAGGCGGTAAATAGAAATGTATTAAAAAGATGTTTTAGTCCCTTTCTCTGTTGATCACATCCAGTGATGGAGAAGATTATCGCTTGATTATAGCTTTATAACTTGTTTATATACAATCAAGTTGTCATTACATTGGTTTCCCTGTAAAGTTTGTGAAATTTACATCTAGCTCAAAATCTTTGGCCATGATTGAGCTGTTATCTTATTTGCAAAATTTTTGGATGTTCGATAGAAACAGAGCATTAAAAAATTCAACTAAAACCATTGTTATTGAATTCCCACCATTATGTTTTATTTCTCCCACTGCTGAAAGCTCCTAAAAACACCTGAATAAACCGATTTGATTGATTTGACTTTATTTTTGAAAGGTACTGTATGCTTCAACAGCTGTTAGTAGACTAGGAGCAAAACTGTGCTCAAATATATTCGCAGTGTCTGCAATAGTTCCCCCAGAATTTGACATGGTGACTCGCTGTTCTTGTGGTCAGCCTGATGCAAACCGCATTTAGTAGCCAAATTGAAGTGGTTAACTTCAACTTTCGTTGTTGACTTCTACCTGCTCAAACTCGACTTTTCTGAAAACCTCGACTTTCCACTCAAAGTTGGATCGCTCGGGCCAAGGATTTTCCTTAACCTATTTTCCCGAGCCCTAGACCTTAGGGCTGAATTCATAAAAGCTCAGGCTGTCGAACAATTTGTCTTTTGACAGGAGGGACCAATGAAGCCACCAGAGGCTGGTCAACAGTGAGTGGCAGGGCCCGAGCCTGGGGCGATACCTGTGGGGCGGGTGGCTGAACGGGTATTGCAGAAGCAGCACCGGTAAGAGAGAGAAAGGGAAGGAGAGTGCTAGAAGGAGGGAGCAGGCCGCCATCTGGCCCCGGAGAGGGAATTGGGTGGTACGATCAAGTCGAGGGTGGTGTCAGATCAGAGCGGTCAGGGCTGGTGGTGAACAGATGTTCTGGGGTGAACACGCACACAAGCAAACGCGCTCTGGAGGGACCACGTGTGTCCATCAGTGGCTGGAGAGTGCTGCTGTTCTGACCTTGAGCAAGGAAACATGTCGAAGTCTCTCTGCTCTAAAATACAAACACACACAAACACACGGACCTCGTAGGGAATTAACCTGTTCTGTATTTACATTTATGTCATGGAAAAGAGGCCCTGACTAATACTGCGTTGCAATTTGTAGATAGTAACATCCCAAGTCTAATATAGTACAGAAAGATGTTTGGTCACACAAAAATGAAAATGGTCATTTTCTGATCATCATGTCTTTTGGGTGACAATAATGTTATAAGTAAAACATTAACCCCAGGTTTCACATACAAGGCTTAAGCCTAGTCCCCGTTTTAACTGAATTAACTTGCTCTGACCTATCTTAAATTATGGCAGTTACGGGTCCTAAGTCTATATTACTAATTTAGTCCTTGGTGTGTTCATGTAGCGATCTGTATTTTGATTCATGAATGAATTTTCAGATCTTTTCAATGAAATCAGTTGATTCAGTTCACAAAATGATTCATTCACAAATCAAACTGATATCCAGGGCCTTCGGGGCCCCATATACTCTAGCCAAGTTCCTGCTGATGGGACTCAACTTGTCATGACTTAACGATCCGATTAAGACTGGAAGAATTATGAGTAAATGATGACATGTCACTCATGTAATACGTTAGATACTATGTGAGTTAACGTGAGTTGTTTTAGATTACTTGATTACTTTTTTCAAGTAGCGAGTAAAGTAACAAACTACTTTTATATTTACAACAAAATATCTGAGTTACTTTCTCAAATGAGTAACACAAATTATTTTGCTTTCCTACTTATTGTCTGACACCTCTACTGTCTCCCAAATCATGTGTGAGGTAGAGCCATTGTGTTCCATGTTGTTCCAAAAATAAGTTTGGAACAACATGATGGTGAGTAAATGTTCACCTTTTTTATATTTATGAAATATTAAATATGGTTCTAGAAAACCAAACAGATGTCATGA